CCATCCCGCCAAAACAAACAGCAATTGTCTGCTCAGGGAGATTGATATTTATTGTAATAAAGTATGAATGCCTTCTTTTTGTAAATTTAATTTTTCTTTAGGTCATTTTTTCAAAATAATAAATTATATTTTTTATTATACTTGTTTCTTCCATGCATTTACTTCAAAATATGTAATGGTGACAAACCAGAACGGATCTATTTATTTATTTACTATCAAGTCATGTGACAGTTTTCCAGCTACATAGATTGTTTTGCAATGGAAGACACACTTAGGCTCTTCACCTTAAAAGTAATTGCCAAACATGAGAGATTTGTTTATAAAAAAAATTCTAATGTAGTGTAGCAAATTGTATAAATATTATGTATATTCAAATTTAATAATGTTATAATGTATTATAAATAATTATTATTTTTCACACACAATAATATGCAAGTGTTTGTTGATGTACACAGATTGATATAAGGTGAAGGTCATTTAAAAAACAAACAGCAATCTTCTGCATAGAGAGATTCATAGTCATTGAAATAAAAGTATGAATGTGTTTTTGTGCACACCCACATGCAAAGGGGGAGGGAGAAAGAAGACATTTGCATGAAACCCCATTTTTGTTAAATTTTTAATGTTGTTATTCATTTTTTTTTTCTTTATAATTTTATTAGGTTTTAAGTTTACTTAATCAAAAAGATTTTAAGCTAGATACCTTTCTCCGACCCAAAAATGAAAGAAGAGACACATCCATCAATAAAAGGTGAAATTGGAACGGATGTTGATAATGTATTATGAATGTGTGTGTGTTTTTTTTTGGGGGGGGTACACACAGATTGATATAAGGTGAAGCTAATCCCCCAAATAAAAATTTATAACAACAATAAACCAGTATTCATCTATTTATCATCGAGTCATGACACATAACCTCTTCACCTTAAAAGTAATTGCCAAACATCTGAGTTTTGTTTATAAAAAAATTTAATGTAGTGAATTGTATAAATATAGGTCATGTTTTGTATATTTAAATTTATTATGAATGTTTATTATTTTTCAAACACAATATTTGAAATATAAAATGCAAGTTTTCATTTATATACACACAGATTGATATAAGAATGTCTATTGTAAACAAATACTCAATTTCCTATTAAAAATGTGGTAAAAACAGAACAAAAAAATGACCCTAGCTCAAAAACCTCTTGTCTAATTTTAATGAAATTTGGCAGTGCACTCAGCAGAGATTCAAGGTACAATATGCTCCTAAATTGCGTGAGGTATTATGTAGCTTAAAGCTGTATCTCAGGAACAAACATACAAGATTGAAGTCCTTGGTCCTACCTATGTTTCTAATTTTCATTAACAACCTTCCTTATGGCATCAGCTCTCAACTTGGTATCTATGCTGATGAGACAACCATTTACTCCTGTCTTAACAGTAAGTCTGATTCATTCAATAAGGTCAAATTGGCAGCTGATCTCAAAAACGACAGTGTTGTTAACTGGAGCAAAGAATGGCTTGTTAACTTTAGAAAACTGTTCTCTATTAATCATTCTGGCTTCCATTAATATTGCTGATGCTAACCTCCGAGAGAGTGACTCATTGTGCCTTCTCAAGCTAAGATTCTTGGCTGACATGAAGTGGAAAGACTATATTGAATTCATTACCTGATCAACTGCTAAGGCAGTTGGTTCACTATGTCGTGCTAGACAATTTTTCTCTCCAGAATTTTATCTTACATAACTATAAGTCTACCATTCCCCCATGCTTAGAATATTGCTACCACATATTGTCTGGTGATCCTGCTATATTTTTAGAGATTCTTTATATAATCCAAAGAGAAATCAGCAATACTATTGGTCCTGACTTGGCAGCTTGCCTTCAGTCAATTTCCCACCATGGTAAAGTTGTTACCTGTGCCTTTTCTATGAATACTTTCATGGTAACTGTTTGCATGAGCTCTTCACTATGGTATGTAGACTTTATGAATTTAAGTACAGTACTAGATTGGCAACAACAATTTTATAGTTGAATTGCCTAGATGTAACCGTAAGTTCTAAAAATTAATGGTTATTTTACCATAAATATTGAAAATATCCTCAAAGTGAGCATGTAAAAAATGTGACAGGACTTCCTTTCCAATGTAACAGCTAATATCTTCCTGCAGGTAATTTCAAAATGTTGGCACTTCACTTTTAACATATTTCTTAACTATAATAAAAAAAAAAAAGTATAAAGAATTCTTAATTTTTCATAAATATCAAAGATATCCCCCAGCAAATATTTTCTCAGGACCCATCAAATGCCTAAATTGCAGATCATTCTGATACATATTTTTTTTAATGTAATTATTTTATTTTGATAAATTTTTTATGTATATTTATTTCAAATAGAAGGTCTTGAGTTAAGTTTTCTTATAATTTTAATGGTCATCTATGGTGGCTTAGGAAAGGAACTCAAGACCTATTATGTTTATTTTAATCCTCTCAAATTTACAGATCAATTACTTAGTGCTGTTTCAAAACTGATGACCAAAGACATTGTAGTTTTAGTTATTTCTTTTATTTTCCCCAAGTACTTTCAATCTCATCTAAGATCAACTTCAGGAGTGAATTGCTAAGACAAAATTAATGTAATTGATAATAAAATAATATAACAATACAATCTTTACCATGATAAAAGTTACGAGTTTTGTTCTCACTGTACATGTTAGCAACTTTAGCATACATTTTTTTTTCATTTTCAAATAAGAAAGTGCTTTATAGCTTCACGTTTACATCCAAGTTGCCACCATCATAACGCTTGCATTTTGTGACCATTATTAGTTAAAAATTTATTTAAATTCATAAAAAAGTAAAAAAATACAAAAAACTGTTTAAATATTTTAGTTTCTTCTATCAAAGCTTACAGGAGCAAATGTTTTTAAAATAAACAAAGTCATCTTAGTGACAATAATTGACTGTCCCTGATTATGCTGGAAGATATCGTGTGAAGGTGTCAAGGGAGAGCACTGATTTTCTTTCCTCATTCTCCATCATCTTTCAGATTAATTTGAATTTTACAAACATATTTTTTTATAATTTACTTCAAATAATGCAGAGAGAACAGTGATTTAGATAACTGATTAATTTCAATTATTAAGCATTCCCAAGCATATGTTCAAGAATTTTATGATTCCACAATCTTATACAACCATTTTTTGGGGGGGGTTTAGACTATACAAAAATATCCTATTTTTTTCTTCAAAAAAAATGAATGGTACAGTATATAAAAGAGGCACCTACATTATTTTAAATTCATTTACTTCCAACTGTTAAATAACTACATTTTTATAATTTTATTTTTTCAATACTTGTAAAATTCAAAACCAAACAATGTTCTGGTAAAGCAAAAATAGTCTATAAATTTATTTATCATTAAGAGCTTTCCAAAACCTTTGGCATTGGTGACACTAGTGACTTCTAGGTGGGTTATGCTAACTAACCTATAATTTTGAACCAAACCTTTTATTTAATCCACAGTCCATGCTGGAGGACATCTTCTATTAGTTAATTCTATCTCATTAATTTCTTGTGATATAACTTGTATTTCACTGAACCAGAGTATATGACCTGTTTTGCCCTACCTGACCTAACTATTGAAAATTCCTTACCACCAGGTAATTTCATTCACAAGGTTTTGTATCCTGAGAGAGTTCAATCTCTGGGTCAGGTAGGCATGATATACTCAGAAGAGACAAGCAGCATAACAAGGATAAATTAACTAAATAAACTGAGACATGATGTTCTCCAGCATGGACAGCAAAAATAAGAATCTATCCCAGTGGATTGAATAACAGTTTGGTTTAAAATTCCTGGATGCTCACCAACTACAATGGATATCTAACTGAAATGTGATAACAACCACCAAAATAAAGACACTAGTCCAAAATAATTCATACTATAAATAATAATTCCTAATTGCAAAAAATCAGACAAAAGTTTTTGTTTACCTGTTAGCCATCAAATACAAAATTCAAAGTGTATAAAAAAAAAAAAAAAATTAGTTAAGATAGGTAATTACACTAGTGTCACAAGCTGGAATGCTTGAGTGGATGAGAGAATTCAAAAAGCTTTTCAGTATAATTGCCATTTTATTTTACCCAAAGTTGTTGGTAACTACATATTATTTTGGGACATCATTTCTCAATTTTTAAGAGAAACCATTTGTCTTATACATATTATGAAATGAAAGTTCTAAGAAAATTATTTTTTTTAGGTTTTCAAAAGCCTAAGTATTTAAAGTTGTAAAAAAAAAAAAAGAAAAAACAACAAACGGAAAAAAAAAAACAACAAACGAAAAAAAAAAACAACAGCAAATGGAAAAAAAGAAAAAAAAAAAAAAAAAAAAATGAGAAAAATTAAAACCACAAAAGGATGGGAAAATACACAAAGTAAAAAAACAAAAACAGAAAAAATAAAAAAAATTATAAAAACAGGCTCAATAGTCTTCACTGATGAATTTTTTTTACTCAAGAAAATGAAGTAAAATAGGATGCAATGGAAGGAAAAAAAAATGGATAAAAAATCCTGCAGGGAAAGCTTAGAAGCAAAAGAAAACATCAGAAATGTTTATTATGATGGAAAGAACAATTACCAACAAGAAAATATTAGCAATATTGCACAATGCATTTTAAAAAAAAAAAAAAAAAAAAAAAAAGTCTTAGGTAAGGCATAAAGAGATGCAAACAAATTCAAAAGAAAAACAACAGGATTAACAATGAATTTCATCTGGTGTAAATGTCAGCATCAAGGTAAGAAACAATTTCTAAAAGAACAGTTCTAGTTCTAAGAAAAAATAGATTGTGGCTAAACTTGGGCATGGGAAGGCTAAAGAAGAGGGGAATCACAAGTGAACCATTCTGAAAGAAACTAAATTAGATTTTTTTAAAAAAGCCCTTTATAGTTAAACTGAAGAACATTCCAAATAAATCAAAGAAATGAAGATTTTACTACAGAGCCTTCTAAGCCATTTCAGAATATGTGAACAAGAAAAGAAAAAGGTGAGATATTTTTTTTTTCACACATTTTACCTGTGGTCATTTCTGGACTCCACTCTTGCTCACCAGTAGGTCCCCACATATATGTCCGATATGGTTCACGCACAGAGCGACTACTGAATTTAACTAAAAAAAGGAAATTTTCAAAGGATTCAAAATTCAGTAGAAAAGCAAAAAAAAAGTTACATTTCAATGAATATACAATAAAAAAAAAAAAAAAAAAAAAAAAAAATTAAAAGTTATAAACAAAGACAATGTCTACTAAACATGAAACTTATACAAACAAAATTTGTACAAAAGAAAAAAATAGTTACAAATAGGCTTTAATTAAACAAATTTGGTATTTTTCATTTATCAGCATATCAAACTCCTATATGGATTATTTAAAGCCAAAATTATTTAGCATTAGAAATCAAGGGTTGAAATACAATTCAAAAATAAAAAATTTTTTTTAAAAAAGTTAAAATTTACAGGTTAATTCAGAGTTTGGGTAAAAAAAAATATATGCATAGTGTAGAAAAATAATATTTTTAAGATTATATAGAATCTGTTTTCTTTCAAGAATTGAATTCTTTTGGATCTATTGATTTTGTTGAAGTGTTAAGTTATTTACTTGATAATATTGTTTGAATTAAGTTTATATCTCCACAATCCACTTGGACATGTTCCATTATGTATTGTTTTTGACATGCAATACTCACTGAGGGTTCTTCATTTTTCAGTAGGTGATTATGTATAATTTGAGTATGAGCCATGCAGAGTATGGCCATCATAACCTCCTTATCTTTCTGTGTCCTGGTTTCCACTCTCCTATCAGTGTTGATGCTATACAGTTTGTTGTGTGGGTTAGAGCTCCAATGCTTATGCCATTTATGCATTTTATTTATGATAGGTTTGAGGTCAGTATAAGAGATTTGTGCTTTAGTGCTTTCTTTGCCTCTGAATCCACTATCATTACCCTATATACCAATGTATTGAGTACTGTTCCTTCTATTTAGTAATTTAGTAGCTAATGGATCTGTTGTTTACTTGTTTTTTAGTGAGATAAGTGATGACATGGAGTCTGTGAAAAGGACAAATTTATTGTGTTGTTTATTATTATGTCAAATGCTAAGTTAGTAGCTGAGATTTCAACACTGTATACTGAGCTTTTGTCGGAGTTGTTTTGTCCATTTTACTTTAAGGATGGCAACACATCCAACTTTATTTCCAGTTTTGATCAATCAGTACACATAAATAAGTGATCTGGGTTATTATTTTTAAATGGCTAGTTCTCTTTGGTATAAAATTGGATTGTTTTTAGTTTGGAGATGTCTTGTTAGATCTAGTATTATTGTGAGGATAACTAGGATAGAATTTCAGATTTGACAGTTTGATAGACTTGTGTTGTATCTATTTGTACTTCTGAGATGATTTCTTTCATGCATAGACCATAAGGTTTGATTGCTTTTTCTCTTTGGTTGAACAGTATTTTGTATTGTGGTTAGAAAATGCTATTGTATGTTGGATTTAAAGGGCATGATAACAGTTTCATGCAATGTCAGAGTACTAGTTTTTGTCGCTTCAGAGTCAGTGTGCCTCTGTGTATAGGTTTTCTACAGGTGAAGTTTTGAGGGCTTTGCATAGGGTGGGGGTCCATCTTTGGTGATGTATCTTTCTTCCTTGATGTATGATGCACTTTTAAGCAATCATGTCTTTTTCAATTCATGATTAGCTTGGCAGAAGGATCCAAACATTAGGTTGACATTACTTTCTTCAGTAGACAGGTTGCTAACCAAGGTTATGTCCTGATTTTTAACCTATAGCTGAGAGTATTGTATTTAGCTATTTTAAATAACCTTCATGCTTATTCATATATAAAACAGTCATAATCCAGCTTTGATTTCACTAGTGATCTGTATAATGTAAGTAGTATTTATTTTATCAGTTCACCATTCAGTGTTAGCTACTGCTTATAGTTGTACAGCTTTGCTGCATTTGATTCTTAAATTTTTGATATGGGATATAAATGATAGTTTGTTTTTTTTTGGCGGGGGGTGTCAAAATATTATGCCTATAAATTTGTGCTGTCCAACTGAGGTTATTTCAATATTCTCTAGTTTTTATATATGGTCATTACGCATTTTTTTTTTGTACTTGGCAGAAGTGTATGCACTTTGTTTTGGTTTTTGAAAGTTTGAATCCATTTTCTGTAGACCATTTACTTATTAAGAAATTGTTATAGCTGACATTCTATAGAACATGTATTTGTATCTATAGCAGATCAAGAACTTGTCAACATAAAGTGAGCAATCTACCCAGGGGTTGATATTTTTAGTGACATTATTTAATATTAAAAAAATAAATAATGTCACTGAAAGTATGCTTTTTTTATGGTACTATTTCTTGCACTTTTAGGTCTGAAAGTGTGGAGCCGACTCATGCCTTAGATTTTGTCATTTAAAATTATTGTTGATAGAAATTGGCATTCTGCCTTTCAAATCCAGAGCTTTCATGTTTTTCATAAAAATAACTCCATGTTATAGGCGTTCTCTAAATCAAAAAATATTGTTGTTACATGTTCTTTTTGGATGAATGTTTCTCATATAAAGTTTTCGAACCAAACCAGATGGTCTATGGTGCTTCTTTTGTTTCTAAAACCCAATTGATATTGGGTAATTAAGCTATTTGATTCCAAGTACCAGCACAGCCTGCTGTCACTCATTCTTAAAAATATTTTGCAAAAGCAATTGATCAGAAATGTCATGGGTGGTTAGTAGGGTCTTTTATAGATTTAGATATCTGAATCACAGTGGTTTATTTTAGAGTTGGTACTTTACCACTGGACCATATGTTATATATTTGTAGTAGGTAATTGATAGATGTTTTGGGGAACTGTGTCAGAAATTTGTAGCAAACATCATAAGGACCTACAGTTATAAAGTGTGATTTTGTCAATGAATCTTGCAATTCTATCCAGGAGAATGGTTGATTGTAGTTTGTTTTTTGGAGTGGGGGGGCACTGGAAGCTTATTTTCTATTTTGTTTTATGATTTCAAATGTTCTGACTTGGTTTTTGGAGGATGAATTTTGTGTGAAGTTCTCTGCTAGAAGACTAGCAATATCTTTTTTGCCATTTTTGGTGTGGTGTTTTAGTGGAGTACTGTTGTATTTTTTTCATCCTAAAAACCCTTTACTTTGGTATTTGTGTTTTACAGATTAAATTTTTTTCCCCATGTAGGTTATTTGGATTCTTTGATTGTTTGTCTTTCTATGGCTGTAGAGATTTTCAAGTTTAAAAAGTTTTCATTAGTTAGGTTTTAGTTAAATTTCCTAAGTGCTGCATTGTGTGACTTAATGGCTTTTTTGCATTCTTTATTAAACCAAGGCTCATTGGGTTTTGTTGGTGTGAATTATTTTGCTATACTTTCTTTGACAATGGAGGAGTGTGTTTTGGTGAAGTGAGTGATAAGAATCTCTTGTCTAATATTTATTTCTGGAATTATTTTGGAGAAGCAATGTTTTTTTAATAGTGCTTCCCAGTCAGTCTTGTATAGATTCCAGTTTGGGATTTTCTCTGCAGGAATGGGGCCAAGGTGCTCTAGTATAATTGGGAAGCGTTTATTTCCACAGGTATCTTCATATACTTGCCAGGTAAAAATCTAGTGATATGGTTGAACTGCATGTGGTTAAAGCCCATTGAGGAATAGGAGCAAGTTATTGAGTGGATATATGTATGGGTTCATTATTATTATTATTATTATATAGGAATAGATTCTCTTAGTCTCTTTTCTATGGTTTTCCTTTTTTTATTTGTTATTCTACAACTCTATATTACATTGCAGCTATTGAAATTGCCTATAAGGATGAAAAGCTTTGGCAGTTGTTGCATTGTTTAAATCTGTTGATGTAATATGATCATTTGGAAGGAATATATACTGAGCACATTGTTATAGTCTTGTGTAGTGTTGCTGATACTGCAATTGTAGTTAGCTATATTTGGCTATATGGTATGGTGTTTTTTTATGAGTGTGGATGTACCATCTGCAGTTCTGTTAGTGTGGTTATTTATGTAGTTATAGGAAGTGTAGTGTTTGAGGTCAATTTTTTTTGTTTTCTTTAAAGAAGTGTTTCTTGAAGGCAAATTACTGCTGGGTGAAGGTTCATAATGTGTAGCATCAACTGTCCTAAATTAGTTTTAGTTTCTGATGTGCCATTATGTTTCTTGCCAGGTTTTAAGTTTGGTGGTTTTGGTCATCAATGATTATACTCTACCTTCTATTGGATCTGCTTATGGTTGGTTTTGTTTGTTTCTTTGATAACCTTCTGGTAAAATTTAATGTCTGTTCTAGTGAAGAATCCCCACCACCCTTGTTCTTTCTAGAGGTCTTTATGTTTGATTGGATTTTTTTTTGTTTATCACTTTTGGTTCTATGTCTTGTGTTTCCAAACCATCATGTTTACCTGTTTTGTGCTGATATTTCCTTGGTTTATGTATTGGACTGTTGAGGTTTTTCCCTATTTCCGGGGTAGATAGGTTCTTCTTTGTTTAGGAGGGCTTTTTTTTTCTTTTTTTAGTTCTTTCTCTATACTTTGTGAGGTAATGTATCCTGTTAACTAGCTTAGTCTCTGGGGTGGATTAAATGGGAGTTTTAAACCATTAATGCTGGCTTTAATTCTTTTATAAATCTTGGCCAGTCATCTGGTCTAAGCTGCAATAATTTCTCTACCAATACCTTGTACAAGGTTCTCACAGATCTGTGTAAAAAAATTCCAGGACTTTTCAAGGACCAAAATTGACATGCCAGTGCACACATATACATATCAATTTCAAAAACACAAACTTTGAGGTTTATCTTTTAATAGTTTGACAGATGAGATATCCAAAGAAAAGCTACAGGTGGTTGCAATAATTCTTGTCACATGGATTAGTTGAAAGCTGTGAATAAATCAAAGTGTTGAAGGCTAAAACTCAACTGAATGCAGATCAGGTTATGTTAGACATTTTGTGTAGCATTCTACACAGTTTAGAGTTCTACTGCACTTGAAAATTTTTAATTACACACTAATTCTTACTACTACACATTTCCGCTATCTTGACTACTCATGGTTTCTGAATGTCACAAAAATTTTTAACTGCTGCATGT